TGCTGGGCTGTGGGAGAGGGAAACTGAGGCAGGGATGGTGCTGTCACCCTCCGCTGGGACAAGGGGGAGCCCCCCCGGGATGAGAGCAGCAGGGAGCGTCCCCCAAGGGGAAACTGAGGCACGGCCTCGGAGACCACAGCCGTGCGAGGCGAGTCCCCGTGCGAGGAGGGGGGGGTTTCCTCGTGCGAGGAGGGGGTGCGGACGGCGGTACCCGGGGTCAGAGCTCGTCGTGGTCCTCGTGCGAGGGGGGCGTGTGACACGCCGCCGGCGTCACCAGCTCCATCAGGTACTCGCAGCGGCTGGGCTCCGTGGTGGCCGTCACCGCCGTCTCGGTCCCGCAGGACAGCTTCACCTGCGCGGGGGGAGGGGGGCTCAGTGGGAGGCCAGGGGACACCCCAAGGGCACAAGGACCCCCCAGGGGATGGGGACACCCCAGGGGATGGGGGACCTGGGGCACCCAGGGACAAGGACATGCTGGGGACATGGGGCACCCCAGGGGACAGGGACACCTTGGGGGGCAGGGCTGTGGGGCACCCCAAGGGCACAGGGACACCTTGGGGGACAAGGATGGGGGGTACCCCGAGGGGACAAGGACACCCCAGGGGATGGGGACAGTGCTGGGGGACAGGGACATGGGTCACGCTGGGTTGATGGGGATGGGGGGGGCTCCCCAGTGGACTGGAGACACCCCAGGGGACACGGGGACAGCCAGCCTCACCGTGGTGGCCCGGTTGGGGCCCTGCCAGCAGCCCGTCCCGTGCTCGTACTTCATGGCGCTGAAGCGATCGTGCTCGGGGCCGGCCCAGGCGCCCCACGTCCTGTGGGGGGGACACGGGGACACATGAGGAGGGGGACACACAGAGGGGACAGGGGCCACCGTGGTGTCCCCGGGGGTCTCCGGGGTCCCCTCACCCCAGGTTGGTCTCAGCGCCGCCGTGTTTGGGTTTCTGGGAGACACGTTTGAAGGGGCAGAGGCGGTAGATGTACCTGGGGACAGAGGGGGGCACGGTGACGG